TATTGTTCACTAAGTAAAAAATGATCGTCCATTTAAAACAGGTAGCAAATATTTTTCACTCAGAGGGTTATGAGTATTTAGAAGTCTCTTGGAAAAGGTGATGGAAACAAAGCCCTTGAATTTTTTTTAATGCAAAGGTGGATAAATTCTTGTGAAGCAGTAAACATTTGCTGGGTTTAATGAACTAAAACAAAATTAAAAACAAAATCAAATTTCTGGAGAAACTCGGCATGTCTGGCATAATCTGTGGACAGAAAGCAGATTTCATATTTTGAGTCCTTGACCCTTCTACAGAACTGGTAGCAGCTAGAAAAAGGTTTGTCCTGCAGACAGGGCGGGGGTGGGGATGGGGTTGGTAGTGGGGATTGTGGGTGCAAGAGGTGGAATTGATCACACAGGCAGAGATGAAGCCCAGAGAGAGAGAACCGACAGTTAGGCAGACAAAGGCATGGATAATAGTCTGCAAGAGAGAAAGAAAAGCCGATAACGGGGACCCATAAATAGGCAACAATAGGTCAGCTGTGCTGACATTAGCCCATGTCAAAACAGGGCCTTAGGTATGGATGTGGGTAAAGAACAGATAAGGTAGTGTTCAGGTTCTAAAATCTTTGAACTGGATATTGAGTCCTGAAGGCTGCAGCGTCCCCAAGTGGAAAATAAGATGCTATTCTTCCATCTTGAGCTGAGCCTCACTGGAGCATTGCAGCAAGCTAAAGACAGAAACAAAATTAATTGATTGATGAGATCATATTTCAGATCATTAAAAGATTACTTCACTATCCAAACGTGCTGACTTTAAATTTGATTCTCAACGATGTGAAAGAATCTGAATTCTTAATGTCAGGATGGAAACACCATGGCAGCTCAGTAGAAGTAATCACTTCAATTATTTTACAGCTTTATGTATTTATTCAGGCTGGATACTGGAGAAGCAGATTGGCTTTCCTAATGGCTCAGATGTCACAGCTGACTTTTTTTTATATAATGCAGCCTAAGTGCTATTATGTCTTCTCATTGTGGACATGAACTTTAGTGGTAGTCCCACATCCACCAGAAAACATATCTACAGCTTTTTCTTCTCTCCTTTTAACTAACAAAAAGAGAAGGGAAGATGCATAGCTTAAAGGAGCCAGATGCAGCTCCCTATGCAAGTTTTGTTACAAGTACTGATCCAAGTCCAGCATTATTTAGGAAGTAATATATGGACTAAAGAATCAGAACTTTGATCCCTGTAACCATGGGAACCATACATTATAAGCCTTCTATTGTCTAATTTTTACTTTTAATTGACCTAATTCGCAAGTCTGACAGTAGCATAATTTCCGTTATTTGAAGAACATCAAAATCAGGCTTTGTGTTCTTTCTGATGAACAATTTCCAGCAAAGTATTGGCTTGGTGTTTCCTTTTAGGTTGATCTAACACAGTTTGGACCAAAAACTGCCGAAGAAGCAGAAAGAATTGAAGAATTTCAAAGACAAAGTGAATGTATAAATTTTCTCCCCACAAGCTTCTATGCTAGTTTTAAAAAATGCCCTGGGCCCTTGTAGTGCAGTAGTAGTTACCTGACTGTCCTTACTGACACCAAGTTCTGTTCATCCACCATCCCTGTCCTTGCTGAAATGCATGGCTCCCAATTAATTGGGTGGAGGTAGCTTTTACAAGGGTACATAGTTTTAAAGTGAAAGGAGGTAGATATCGGGGAGACGTCAGAGGTAGGTTCTTTACTCAGAGAGTGGTAGGGGTGTGGAATGCATTGCCAGAGAGGGTAGCGGAGTCGGCCTCATTAGGGGTATTTAAGCGGCTATTAGATACGCATATGGATGATAGTATAAGGTAGCAGTGGAGGTTAGATAGACCTTAGGTTTCGGGTAAAAGTTCGGCACAACATCATGGGCCGAAGGGCCTGTACTGTGCTGTACTGTTCTATGTTCTATGACCTCTGGGCCAGGCGGCATGGGTTCAAGACAGATCTACTCCTGAGATGTATCATAACTCCGAACAAGGTGATTACAGAATACATTTTTTAAAAAAGTCTTGAAAACTGCCAACATACGTGAAACTAGCCACGCTGATCAATCCAATTATTCACCATGATAGGTTTCCATTAGTTGTGCCGATTTGTGTGCCCTTAAGGGAGCTATCAAAATGGATTTTTTTTTGTTTTTTAAAAAGCACCAACTTATTTATTGGTTTCTGTTGTACATCATGCACTATAAAGATTGTCTGATCGGTAATCTTGAAAATAGGACCTGAACCATTGGTGAAAAAATGTTTTCCTAATAAACTAACTTTCAACTTAAATCAATAAAACTGGACTAGGTGTTTTTTTATTGTTCAAGGAATATGGCCATTATTTCTGAGGCCAGTACTTATGGCTTATGCCAAATTGTCACAAAGAAGCTGGCAGTGAGCTGCCTTTTTAGACTGCTGCACTCCTTGGGTTGTAGGAACACCCATAGTGCTGTCAGGAAGGGACTTTAGGATTTTGACTCAGTGACAGAAAAGGAACAACGATATAGTTCCAAATCAGGAAGGATTGCAGATGGTGGGCTCACATACATCTGCTGCACTTGCCCTTCTAGGCAGCACGGAGTGTGGATATCTAAAGTGTCGAAGATGCTGAAGGGGCCTTGGCGAGTTGTTGCAGTGCATCTTCTAGATAGTACCCAACAATGTTTACACTGTGCATTGGAGGTAAAGGAATTGAATGTTGAAAGTGCTGGAAGGGGTGTCAATCAAAAAGGCTGATTGTTCTGCATGCTTTCAAGCATCTTGAGCGTTGGAGGAGTTGAACCCATCCAGCTCAGTATGAAGTATTCCCTCACATTCTGATTGTTAACTTTGTAAATAGCAGACAAACGATGGACAGGAAGGAATTGAGTTTCTCAGCAGAATTCCAAGCGTTTGGCCTTCTCTTGTAAATACTACATGGTTGGTCTAATTAAATTTCTGGTCAATGGTGATCCCAAGGATGTTGACAACGGGGGATTCAGTAACAGTAATGTTACTGGATGTCAAAGGACAATCGTTAGATTCCTTCTTGTTGGAGACAGTGCTTGGCAGTTACATAACTTGAATATTACTTGCCACTTATCAGTCAAAGATGCAGCCCAGGCCTTTTGCCTATGAATATGATCAGCTTCAGTGTACGAGGAGTCACGATGATGGAGGCATAGTAATTGATGAAGCGATTGAAGACAGAGGCTTTGGACACCGCCCCGAGGAGCTGCTGCAATTACATGCTGGGATGAAGGTGAATAATCTCCAAAAATTACAATCTTCCTTTGCATATGATATGACTATAACCAGCAAACAGTACAATCCCTCCTGGATTCTCATTCACTCCAGGTTTGCTGGGTCTCCTTGATGCCATATTTGATTAAATACTGCCTCAATGTTGAAGGCAGATGCTCTAACTTAGTCGCTGCAGTACAGCTCTTTTGTTCTTGCTTGGGCCAAAGTTGTAATGAGGTCAGGGGCTGACTGCCCTGACAATGTTTCTGGAGACTCTTGTTGTTTATTTAATTACCTACCTTGATTCACAGTTGGACATGTATTGGTATTATTGCAGAGCTTAGATCTGATTCATTGGTTGTGGGATTGCATTGCCTGTCCATTGCATGCTGTCTGGTATAAAATTAGTCCTGTGTTTCAGCTTCACCAGGTTGACAGCTCATCTTTAAGTATGTCCTCCATGCCTTTTCATTGAACCATTGTTTATCTCCCAGCTTGATGGTAAATGGCAGAAGTGGTGGATGTGCAGGGCATGAGTGTACAGTTTGTCATTGAATATAATCCTGCACTTGCAGCATGGCCCAGAGTGTCTTAATAATGCAGAGTTTTGAGTTGCCAGATCTGTTCAAAGTGTGTCTCCTAGCATCACACAATACAATGGAGGGTATCCTCAACATGAAGGTGGGACTTTGTCTCCACAAGAATTGTGCAGTTATCACTCCTACTAATACAGTCAAGGAAAGATGCATCTGCGACAAGTAGATCGGAGATTGAATTCAAATTTCACCATCTTCCAGGGTGGGATGCATACCTTTGTCCACTAATATTAGCTTGGGAATGTGGAGTACTCGTCCAGTGATGCTACCACTACACCACTACCTCCTACTTAATAGCCGTGATGTGGTGGTGCCAGTGTTGGACTGGGGTGGTGTAGTCAGTAGTCACACAACAGCAGGTTATAGTCCAACAGGTTTATTTGAAATCACAAGCTTTCAGAGTGTGGCTCCTTCATCAGGTGATGAGACACTGTGCGCCTGTGTGTGAGAGAGAGTGAGACACTGTGCGCCTGTGTGTGAGAGAGAGTGAGACACTGTGCGCCTGTGTGTGAGAGAGAGAGTGTGTGTGTGTGTGTGTGAGAGAGACAGGTTGTGGAATATATGAGACAGAGAGATAATTACCTGTAATTACCTTGTGATTATCTCTCTGTCTTATATATTCTCTCACACAACCACACCCTGTCTCTCTCTCTTTCACACTCACACAGTCACACACACACACGCACACGCACACACACATTGTCTCATCACCTTATGAAGGAGCCACACTCTGAAAGCTTGTGATTTCAAATAAACCTGTTGGACTATAACCTGGAGTCCTGTGACTTCTGACTTTGTCCTATTTAGTAGAAAGGTTATTACTCTCAATTACATCAAATTTTAATTAAATTATGCTTAATTGCATTGGCCCATGAGAGATTTATATTCAGTGATGTGTTGTAGGTTGAGCTTGAACAAACTAATGCACTTCTGAAGAATTACAGCAATGTTATGCCTACAGTACCAAATACATTCAAAGCCAAAACGCTATGCCATTATGTTACAGCTGTAGTAGTTCTATATTGCCAGATATTGAGAGGATAAAGTTCATACTGGAGGGCAGGCTGGATGATGGAAATGGTCCTTGATTATAGAATAAGAGATCTCCAAATGATGTAACATCGATGTCCCTCCACCAAACAAAACTAAATGGAGTCAATTATACATACCACATGTCAATCTGTGTTGAGTACTCTGAAGAGCCCAGAAGAACATCTGGAGGCCTGTACCACAAAGTTACAACTTCATTTGAGTATGTCTTTGTTGGAACAGACTTGGCTCTTGCTAAACCTGTGAAGGAAAAGATATTCAATTAAAGTTCCAAAGAGTCATATTGAACTTGAAAAATTAATTCAGTTACTCCCTTCACAGACGCTACTAGACCCACTGAGGTGCTCAGCACATTGTTTTTACTAAAGATGATTCAATCTTTGATATGATCAATTGTACATTTTAAACAATTCTCTGCTCAAGTGCTGAAGTAAAGTAAATTTTTAATCTTTGTTTTTTCAAATTCCTCAGCTATATGTACCTGTACTAGTAGAGTCATAGAGTTGTACAGAATGGAAACAGGCCCTGCGGTCCAACTGATCCGCGCCGACTACATATCCTAAATTAATCTAGTCCCATTTGCCAACATCTGGCCCATATCCTGCTAAACCCTTCCTATTCATATACCCATTCAGATGCCTTTTAAATGTTGTAATTGTAACAGCCTTCATCACTTCCTCAGCAGCTTGTTCCATACACGCCCACCCTCTGCGTGAAAAAGTTGCCCGGTAGGTCCCTTTTATATCTTTCCCTCTCATCTTAAACTTATGCCCTCTAGTTTTGGACTTCCCCACCCAGCTATTCACTTTATCCACGCCGCTCCTGATTTTATAAACCTCTATAAAAGGTTACCCCTCAACCTCCGACACTCCAGTGAAAACAGCCTCTCCCTACAGCTTAAACCTCCAACCTCGGCATCATCCTTGTAAATCTTTTCTGAACCCTTTCAAATTTTACAACTTCTTTCCTATAGCAGGAAAACTAGAATTTAATGCAGTGTTCCAAAAGTGGCCTCACCAATGTCCTATACTACTGCAATATGATCCCAACTCCTACACTCAATGCTTTATTTAAAAAATGACAGGCTCTCAAGGTTCAGTAAGTAATGAATTTTTTTTTCAAAGATTATCCTTGATTCAGTGGTTGCATTTGGACCTGACAGCCCAAAGGCTGTGGGTTTAAACAAATATTTTGAGTTGATCCTGACCGTTTAGTACTCCCCTAACACTGAATTAAATGCTGTATTTTGGAAAAGTCTATAAATTGAAATCCAAAGCCACTATCTGAAGAGCAATAGGGAACTCTTCCAGCAATCTTTTGTACATAGTTATCCATCAACTAAAATTACTAGAATTATCTATCCATAGGTCTAGACTGCATGCAAACGCATATGACATTTCCCTGCATTAGAAGAGTGATTAAATTTCAAAAGTACTTCATTGGCTAAAGTGTGTTTGGGACAATCTGAGGTAGCTTACATTACAGTGCTCATTGTCAGCAGATGCTCTGCTTATTGACAATTTGTTTTAAACTGAAAATTAACAATGGCAGGGTTAGATGTCTGTAGACTACATAGCCAGATAAGACCCTCCTTCAACATTAGGTAGACTGAAACAGATCAGATATTTTAACACTTACTGATTAAAATTATATTACTCTCTGAAACTTCCTATTTGTATGCATTCCTTTGAATGCATTACAGCTGTGTCTTCAAAAGAAAACCTGCTTTGATTCATGGTGACTTCTTAGAAAAAGAAGGTGCAATGTTCATTTGTAGTAACCATTTAAATACATATGTTTGATAGCTGCATTGATGGCTAATGTCACTGCCTTAAGTGCAGCAAATTTGGCTCTAGTAGGGAGACTGCCACTTTTAATTTGAAACAGGACCTGTGACAGGCACAAATTCATAGAAGCAATCCTATTGAAGAAAATAGGTATCCAATCAGTGCTGTAGCAGCTGGTGACTGACTAACCAGTTTCCAAACTATCTTTGTGAACCAATGTATTATGTAAAAATCAACCTGTTCAGGGATGTTATATCATAACCTTGAAGCAGATGGAACTTGAAGCTGGGCCTTCTGGCTCAAAGTGCAGTACAAGAGCCCTCTTACTAGCCGGATTCCATTCAGACAACTATGAGATGGAACAGGTGAAACACCTACAAAAGGCAGGGGAGCAACAGTTCATATAGCAACACTTAATTGTTTCCCTGGGTTAGACACTGTGCTATCTGTATATCACATATTGCATTTTTCAATGAATTTAATAGAAAAAAAACAGCATAGTGATGGCTTGGGGTGCTGTCATCCCCTAGGGATCTAACGTAGTCTGTACAGCACTGAATTTTTTTTGCACTTTTTTTTATCTCCCTGAAGAGATTTGTTACCCAGCCTTAAATGTCCTTGAAAAGGTCGTTGTAAGCCATCACCTTGAACTGTTGCAATTCATCTGATCTAGGTATGTATGCAGCGCTGTTAGGAAAAATGTTCCACGATTTTGACCCAACTACATTGAAGACTTGCTGTTATATTTCCAAGTCAGGACGGTGTCTCTGTTTCTACTTTAGAATTGTGCCCTTTATTTTACTATTGCTTCTCCTCATTCTTTCCACCAAAAAGAAATTCATGTGTCTAGCCATCTCACCAGCCCATATCCTCCTAAATTCTATCACTGTCCTCTTCATTGTTCACAATATATCCAAGTTTTGTGACATCTACAAACCTTGAAATTGTGTTCATCACACCCAGATATAGGTCAATATTATACTCCACAAAAAGCAGTGGTACTAATGTCAATCCTTAGCGTACCTTCTTCCAGTGCCCAAAACAGTCCTTCACCACCCCTCTGTTTCCTGTCACTCAATGAATTTGTATCAATGTTGCCAGTTTCCCTATTCTTCCATTGTCTTCTAATCTGCTGACAAGTCAATTATGTGACATTTCATCAAAAGCTCAAACAAATTAGTCAAACACCATTTAACTAACAAAGTTATGTTGGTTTTTCCTAATTAATCTAAACTGCTTACAAGTGTTAATTTTGTCCTAGATGATCGTCTCCGAAGCATTCTAAGCACGAAGTTTAAACTGGCAATGGTAACCCTTGCTGAGTTTATCCTTATACTCTTTTTTTAATACATAAGCAGTTTCCCAATCCTCTGTAACTAAGGAAATTGGAAAATTATGGGTGGTGTCTCTATAATTTCCACTCATAATTCCCTCAGGCTTAATGCATATAATTTGGTCCTGGTGATGTATCATTCTAAATGTAACCAGCCTTTTAAATAACTTCTCTTTATTAATGATGACATTTATTATAAACCTTTGTTTTTATTTCACTTTATTTTTGTGTTAGTCATTTAGGAAACTTCATCCTTGGATGCACTTTCATTCCTGAACTATTCACTCCTTGAAGGCCTCTCATTACTTATTTACTGTGTTAATGCAGCTCATCATGGCTCCATGCCACCAGGGCAAAACGGTGCTGAGTGGTTTAGCACTGCTGCCTCACAGCACCAAGGATCCAGATTCGATTCTACCCTTGGGCGACTGTCTATGTGGAGTTTGCACGCTCTCCCCATGTTGGTGTGAGTTTCTGCCGGATGCTCCGGTTTCCTCCCACAGTCCAAAGATGTGCAAGTTAGATGGATTGGCCGTGCTAAATTGCCTGTAGTGTTCAGGAATGTGCAGAATGCGGGTTACAGGGATAGGATAGGGGGACGGGTCTTGATGGGAAGCTCTTTGTGCATCAGTATGGACCCGTTAGGCCAAATGGCCTGTTTCCACACTGTAAGGATTCTTCTTCTTTCGGCAGCATCATCTGAACCCTTAACTTCCAACACTGAGAAAATGCCACCCTGATCTCATCCAGTATCTTCACTAGTGGTTGCCTGCTACCCTGTACAAATCTCCAGCTCTAACCGATGCCATTACAGTATTTTTGACATAAAGCTTGTCATATGCTTTCCAGATAACTTAACTGGTAAAGCATTTTTCAAATTGCATTCTAGCAAAAATATTGGCATCAACTGATTGCAACAATAACATATGCCATTTTTGACTATGTTTCGGTACTCGAACTAATGTGATTTGGTGCCACCTCAGAAACAGATGTATGTGTTTTGTGCTGATCAGAATCACTCACCTACCCTCAAGGCATATGAATAATTTCTATTTGTATGCAGAAATTAAATAAATCAGAAACAAACTGGAAATGTGAGGTAAGATGCAAAACGGATTGTGGAAATTAATACATACAAGACTTTTCACCAGTACGTAATATTTAATTATTACTTCATACCAAAATCAGCAAGCTTTAGTTCTCCTTTTTCATTTATCAGCAGGTTCTGCGGTTTCAGGTCTCGGTGTAACACTTTCCGTTTATGACAATATGCCAAGCCCCGTAAAATCTGGAATAAAAATATCTACAAAACAAAGCAACAAGATTAACCTAACAGTACCTGCATGTAACAAATGACTCACAGCAGCTGTTTGTTCATTTTTGCCCTCACCGTCACATTGTGCATGCTCATTATGCTTCCACAATCATCCATATACTGTTTCAGGTCCTTGTCCTACAAGATGCAAACATTCAAAATATAAAATCAGATTCCTTCATTTTTCTTTTTAATAACTGACACATAAGCAATGACCAATACAAAAAGTGTAAAAGAACAAACCTTACCAAGTACTCGAATACTAGTGTCAATGACTTTTCCGTGTGAATAATATCATGTAAAGTGACTATGTTCGCATGCTTCAGGTCCTTGAGTAATGAGACTAGACAGACAAAGAAAGCAATTAACCAATGCCTTTTTATTATAAACTTGAAAATGTGCCTTAATGCAAAACATTTTATTTGGAATGAGTATTGTACTTCCAATTAATATGACAAAATTTGTCAAATCTATATTTTATGACTGCTTTATTGATAAATGATCCTACATATACTGCAAATTGTGTAACAATACATAAAACATTCATTAAATGACAACAGTACAATGCACAATTGAATGATTATACCTTCCCGTATTGCTGTGCAAGGTGCACCTTCCTCATGTTCCAGCCTGATTTCTTTCAGTGCTACCAGGTTATCAGTTAGCTTACTTCTTCCTTTAAACACCGTTGCATAGGTACCCTGTAGTAATGAATGTGAGCAATAAGAATTTTAAATAATACAAAAACATACATACTATGCAATCACAAGCATTCTCCATCACTCCCCACACAAATGTGGCACCACACATTTCCACATTCCAAAGCATATTGTGTTATTCACTCAGGACAGTTAGGAATTCTAGCTGATAATAGCTTTCACCTCAATGAGTTTCACAGGAATGATAAATCACCAGCGAAGCACACGTCTATGAACCCTCTCTCCCTCCCATCACATCAGACCTCATGGTCTATATTTCCCATTTTCAAATGACTAACCCATGTACGGTGTATTCAACTTCTTTAATAAATTCCCACACCAAAAACATTAACTAAATCTAAGATTTTGTACCTAGACACCTTCGTACCTACAATGGCACCAAGAATGGTGGTTTTGTACACTTTTCACTGTATTCTCGTATCCCTGCATTTGAGTACACGTGACAATTAAAATCTAATTCTAAATGAAAAGGTGTTGGAAATGCAAACAAATTGGCCAATGGTTGGGAGACAATGGGCCCTATTTCATTCTGTAAGTGGGTGAATTTTAAAGAAGTTAAAATCTTGCTCAGTAAGTAGACTCAACATCTAAGCAACTGCAGAATATTCGGAGCAAATAAATATCAAACTGTTAGATACACTGGACTGGATTTTTCTTCCGAGGACAGAAAACTGCAGTCAGGATTGTTCCTGCATCCCAAACATGCCTCAAGGGGATAGAGATTGCACAGGAGTAATTGGTCCAGCTCTTCGTTGCGCTGCCTCATCGACTGGCCTGGAGACAGGGTTTTCTGCTCAATACTGGCTATAGGAATGTGGCAGCTGTTCAAATGTGGGTCTAATTTAAACAGTCTGTGTCTGCCATCTTATTGCTTTAACCTCAGCTTTGAAAAATTATCGAATCATACAATGTCTCAGAAAAGAGAGGGGCCTGGAACCTGTGACAGGGAAGACCCAATTCACAAATGTAAACCTCGAGGTTAAAATGAAGAGAAGGGAAGCCCGCCTCATAGGTAGCAGGATGTGGCCACCCACAGCTAAATAAAGATAGCAGGACCTCAGAAGTCACTAGGTGTTGAAGGTGTACCCAAATGAGCAGGGCACCATTGACTAGACCTGGCATAGAACTGCATCAGAAGAGTGATGGCTGTTCTAGTGAGCCGATGACTTTGGCTAAATCGTTTTATGTCTGTATGTTGGGCTCCCAATAGTAGGGCTAGTAGCCATATCTTCAAGGGATATTTCTTCTCTCTCATAATCCATCCATGGAGTGAAGAGCTGTGATTGTCTGGAAAAATGGAGGATGAAGGCGTCATAATGACATCATTTTCAGCACAACATCATGGGTCGAAGGACCTGTTCCTGTGTTGCACTGTTATAGAACATAGAACAGGCCAGGAAAGAAAATGCACACAATTAAGAATACTTTGCTGTGGTCACGAACTAGCTGGACATCATTGGCTGGTCACTGGGTAATTTAATGGTTACAATGATACAATCATTCAATGATGCACCTACAGGAATCTAGCAACAGAGGCAAAACTCACTTCCTTCTGTCCCTACGAGGCCGCAACTATCTAGAATTATACTGGTCAGCTTTCGCAAAGAGAACATTGGTGACTTGTGTGTTGGACAGAGGTGCAACAGCAGTAGAGATGTCACCAAATCTGCAACTAATCCTTTGAAGGAATCAGGTGATTTAAGACAGGCTAAATAGCCTTCGTTTGTAAATATCTTGTAATCAAATGATGAAGAGTAACATTCAGCCCACCTATCCAAAAACATTCCAACTTTCATTGTTTCTCACATAGCTCTGTGATTTTTAATAGTCTACCCTGGCTGCACTTGATAAAGGCAATAAAACAAAATGAGAGATAAAAGGACACTTCAGTATCAATCCTTTCTCTCTCTCTGGGCTCCATCTCCACCTATCCACTCACCTCCCAATAACCCCCAACTCCCAACCTTGACTTCAGCTTAAGTATAGTTGGTGACTTTTCATCAGAACTAGCAAACATGAAACGTTAAGTCTGCTTTCTTCACACAGATGCTACCAGACCTGTTCAGTTTTGGTAGCAATTTCTGCTTTTGTTTCAGATCTCCAGCATCTGTAGTTCTTTGGATCAAGTGACCCTTCCTCAGAACTGTTGTGATGAAGGGTCACTCAACACAAGATGCTAACTCTGATTTCTCTCCGGATGCTGCAGACCTGCTGAGCTTTTCCAGCAATTTCTGTTTTTGTTTCTGATTTACAGTATCCGTGGTTCTTGTTTTGTTTCATATCATTAACTTCATTTTCTGTTTAACTTACTGACAGTTACCTGTCGACTTTATTGGATTCAATTCTTCTTGCTACTTTGTAATGGAATTGCATTCACCTTATCAATTTTCAAGTTTAACACGGATGTCCACTGCTTTATGCTGATGTACCCTTTACTGCAGCACCTTGGCAAATGCACTTTAGAATTCAAAGTAAAGGTAAATCAATGTACTGACCTGTCCTAATGAGTATATAACATCACTGAATTTTTTTATTTGCTCAAATAAATCTAAAGAATCTTCTGAGCCTGTTTAATAAGCTATCAAATTAGGACCAGTGTTTAGAAAGGAGTGGAGAAATGAAGGACAGTGAAATGGATTTTTAAGGAAAGGTCATTTCTAACTACCTTGATCAAATATTTTGAACTAATAAGGAATCAATAGGTCAGCATGTTAAATGTAGCCTATATAGATTTAAGCAAGGTTTTTGCCAAAGCTCCACCCAAGTCCGTAAATAGCAGATCTGACAATCCTCAATTCTACTTTCCTGCCTTTTTCCATTAACTCTTCTTTCCCTTACTCAAACTTGAGAATACTTAACTAACCAGCCTCAGAGGTCCTCTGTGGTAGAGGATTCCAGAGATTCACTACCCTCTGAGGAAAGAAAACTTCATCTCTACCTTAATAGGATAACCAGTTACTCCGAGATTGTGCCCTCTGGTCCTAGACACTCCCACGAGGGGAAAAAAAAAACATTTCTGCATCAATCTATCAAGGTACTCAAGAATCTTATATGTTTTATTCTTCTAAATTCCAATTAGCACAAGTCAAAATTAGTCAAGCACTTTGCATGAGAAAATTCCTCCATTCCCGGAATCAACCTAGTGAACCTTCTCTGGTCTACCTTCATTGCCAATTTATCCTTCCTTAGACATGGGACCAAAATTGTTCACAGTATTTCAAGATGTGGCCTGACTAGTGCTTCATATAATTTTATTAACACTCAACTGTTTGTATATTCCTCCGAAATAAAGACCAACAGTTCATTTGTCTTCTCTATTACTGAACTTGGATGGTAGCCTAAAATGATCCATGCACAAAGACCACTAAATCTCTCTGTCCTGCAGATTTCTTCAGTCTAATCCCAGTTAAGTAATATTCAGCTCCTCTAGTCTTCCTGACAAAGTGCATAAACTCACAAAGTCCCTCATTATATTCCATTTGCCGAGTTTTTGCTTACTTACTGAATAATACTGCATGTATTATATATATGTCTATATCCCTCTGTAGATTCTGTGTGTCATCCTGATTTGTACATAATACAGTATTGTATGTAATTGTGGGTCCAGCGCTAATCTTGGGCATTTCACTAGTTACAGATTGTGATTTTGAAAATGCCCCCCCCCTTAGCCAAACATTCTGACTTCTGCTAGTTAGTCAATCCTTTACCCATGCTAATATACCACCCTCAACATGAACTCTTATCTTACAAAGTAGCCTTTTGTGCAGGGTGTTATTGAACACCTTCTAGAAATCCAAATGCTTTACATCCACTGGCTTGCTCCCCTTTATCTGACCTGTTTGCTACCCCAACAAAGAACTAATAAGTTTAGTAGGCATGATTTCCCATTGATGAAGCCTTGCTGATGGTCTGCTTGAAACAGACTCTGGCATTTCCCCCAGTTACAGATGTTAAGCTAACAGAACAACAGTCACCTTTGTTTGACTTCTTCCCTTTTTGTATAAGGGTATTACACTGGAAGTTTTCCAATCCTCTGGGGCTTTACCTGAATCTAAGGATCCCTAGAAGATTATAACCAGCATATCACTGTACTCACTTTCTCTAGTACTTTTTCTCTAGCAATAATTCTTGTGTTTCTCTCCTACCTCCTTGGGTCCCTTGATTATTTAGTACTTTGGAATGCAGTGTGTGTCCTCTATCATTAAGATTGATGCAAAGTATTTAATTGACTTCTCTACTATTTCCTGGTTCTCCATTATTATTTTCCAAGCTTATTCGCTACGGGGCCTATGTTAATTTTGGTCTCCTTTCCTTTTTATATAATCTATTTGAAGAAGCTCTCGCTGCCAATTTTATGTTACTAGCTAGCTTTCCCTCAGTTTGTTCTTTTTTGATCATCTTTTGTTGGCTTTTAAGACTTCCCAATCTTCTGGTTTACCATTAATCTCTGCCACATTATATGTATATTTCTTTCCATTTAATACAATTCTTAGTTTCCTTGGTTAACCATTGTCAGTTTATCCCCTTCCTAGAATAATTTTTCTTCTCTAAGATATATCTTTGCTGTCAGCATGACGTTTTTTCTTAAATGTCTGACATTGTTTTTCAACGCTATCTTCTGCTAAACATATCCCCCCCGTTGCCTCTGCACTTATTCCTATGTAATTACCCTTATTTAAGTTTAGCACTGTTGTTTCCCGACCAAGTTTCTCACTCTCAAACAGAATGCTAATTCCTACCACGTTATGGTCATTGCTCCCCAAGGGATCTTTTACCCTGCGATTATTTATTAAACCTGTTTCATTCCCAGGATGGCAGGACTGACATATGAGGAAAGACTGGATCACCTGGGCTTGTATTTGCTGGATTTTAGAAGAATGCGGGGGATCTCATAGAAACATAAAATCCTGAAAGGACTAGAGAGACTAGATGTGGGAAAAATGTACCCAAAGTTTGGGAAATCCAGTCCAAGAGAAAGTGGTAAGCCATTGAGGTCTGAGATGAGGAAGAATTTCTTCACTCAGAGTTGTGAACCTGTGGAATTCTCTCCCACAGGAAGCTGTTGGTGTCAGTTCATTAGATATATTCAAGGTGGAGCTAGATGTGGCCCTATTGGCTAAAGGGATCAAAGGGTATGGGGAGAGGGCAGGAATGGGATGTTGAGATTGCATGATTAGTCATGATCGTACTGAAAGGTGCTGCAGGCTAAAGGGCTGAATGACCTACTCCTGCACCTATTTTCTATGTTTGTATGTTTCTATTACACATTACCAAATCTAAAGTAGCCTGATGCCTAGCTATATCCACAATATTTTGTTCCAGGGAATGTCCCAAATAGATACTATGAATTTTTCCTCATGGCTACCTTTGCCAATTTGATTTTAACAATCTATAAGATGATTAAAGTCACTCATGTTTAGTGTACTGCCCCCATCATCCCCTGATTTATTAGCTGTCCTACAAAATAGCTACTGTTCAGGAGCCTATGAACTACTCCCATTCGTGTCTTCTTCTCCTTGTTATTTTTCTACCTCCATCCATATGGATTCTACATCATCCTATCCAGGATAATTTCTTACTATCATACTTATTCCACCAGATACTAAGAAAGCCATTCCAGTACCCTTCCCTTCCGGTTTGTCTTTTCAAAAATTCATGTATCCCTGAATACTTAAGTCCCCATGGTAGCCTGTTCAGAAAAAATAAAAGTCAATGGGTTCCCAGAGTAAGTGGCAAGTTTTATCTAGAAATTGGCTCATTATCAGAATGCAAAGAGTAATGGTAAATGTGTGTGTTTGGGACCAGAAGGCTGTTTCCAGTGGTGTTCTGCAAGGCTGAGTAACAGGTCCCTGGCTTTTCATGGTGTATATATCAATGATCTAGACTTAAATATTGGGGGCATGATAAAGAAATTTATAGATTATGTGAATACTGATCATGGGACTGTTAGTAAGGACGAGAAATGTAAGTTACAGGCGAGTAGAAAATTAGCAAATGGAATTCAATCTGGAAAATTGAGAGGTACATTAAGAAAACAAGGCAAAGGAATACACAATAAAAGACAGGATACTAAGAATTGCAGAGGAACACAAGGACCTTGGAGCACAGATTCCTGAAGGTAGTAGAATAGGATTAGATTGTCATTTAGTCCCTACCTTCCATTTCATCAAAGACCTTTTCTTTTGATCTTCCACAAATCTCCGTACTCCTTCACCCATCCTCCTTTCATTTCAAAATCTAATGTATTCCTATCTTTTCTTGATTCTGTAAGGTCACCAACCTCAAATATTAACCATTTTTCTCTCCTCAGATGCTGTATGACCTGTGGAGTCTTTCCAGTACCTTTTGTTCTTATTTTAGATTCCTAGCATCTACAGTATTTTTTTTACGCCCTGTAATGTTTAATTCAGAGTCCTGATTTTTCTGCAGTCATGTCTCAATAATCCCTATTCTATGTAATTGTTTGAAAGATATTTAGTTTTGCTGTTTTATTTGAGGCATTGTGTATTGCTATATAGACAGTGACTAACAGAAGTAATCTTTCACTAGTTATGTCCTCAAATTATTTCAAAACCACTATCTGATCCCTTCACTCACTGTCAAACCACCTCCCACAGTCCCTAAGACCTCACAAAAACCCCAAAAGAACTGCGGATGCTGTATATCAGAAACAAAAACAGAAATTGCTGAAAAAGCTCAGCAGCTCTGGCTGAAGTCAAGAGTTTTGAGGAAGGATCACTTGACCTGAAACGTTAACACCGATTTCTCTCCACAAATGCTGCCAGACTTGCTGAGCTTTTCCAGCAATTTCTGTTTTTGCCCCAAGACTTATCCTGCTCTTATAAACACAATCCCAGCTGTTAAGTCTCTCATTACACATACTTCCACTTTACATGTAAAAGTTGTTTAGCATATTTTCCAATGATTTACATCCATTCCCTGTTGTGCAAACTGCACAAAATGTTCCAAATGCTGTCTGATCAATGTTTTGCACAAAAGCTTCTTGCTTTTGCATCCAGGGCCCATATTTAAAACCAAATGCATGCCCACTTCTCTCAATTACAACTGGCTATTGAAGATGTTTGCATCTATATAATTTCCTAGCTCTTTTAAAAATATTGTTACTAAGGTCTCATTCACTATTCTTAAAGAGCACATTGTTTAACAGTTCTATAGCAACTCATGCCCTTAAAGTGTCTCTCTATTCTTCCACAGTTTGCCATGCCTCCATTTGCTGTATTCAGCATAGTTAGGTATTGGTCCTTTGTTTCTCATGTTCAGATCACTTGTATGTGTACTTATCCATTTAAATTTATGGTACGTTAATCTATGCTCGCTAATCTTACATGGGTCATTTTACTGACCAATTCTTGCTCAGCATGAGATATTTTAAAATATTCAACTGATTTTGTGTAATGTGATGGGCGACCCCCACATCAATTTGTGTAAGTTCTTTTCACACTTGTTGACTTTCCTACTGGTCTTTCGGTCTTGGACGTTTCTGCATCTCAAATCAGTCTAAACATAATCATTCTGTCGCTACTATCCCCATCGTATCTGCCATGAATTGTTTTAAAGTTTTCTTTCAAGTTGAGTTTAAATTCATTGTGCAAATGACAGAAATGCGTAAACAAACTCAAGATGCCACAGAATTCAAGTTTTTTTTTAATGTCAGAATCAGAAAAGTCTCCAATTAAATACTCAATTATGTTTCAAGGATCAGACATTATTAAAACAAATACACAGAAAACAAATCTTCAAGGCAAGTTGCAGAAATTAATAGAAAAGGAACTCCACATTAAAGTGATGTTTTTAGGGGTTTAAAAGTGGTATTCTAAAATAATCCACTTTATAATTTTTGCTTTAAAAGAGCACACAGAGAGACAATTTGTGCACAGAGACAGTCAATTGCTAACGGATAGTCCAGCAAAAATAGGTATAGTATCCCACATGGGAAGAGAATACAGGACTAGCTATTGTTGGAATTCTGTGGAACATCCTACGAATAATCATTTATGCTGGAAATTTGAAATACATTAGTCAGTTTGCAATGCAGTGAAATGCACCACTTTGGTCAAATAAACAAAAATGTACAGTGCAATTATTCCTTGGGTAATTGAACCAATAATTCTACTATTTAGTTGAATTTACCGCTGTACTTGGAACTACCTCTTCATTGTATACTTTCAGTTGTAAACTATTAACAGACAGCAGTTACTCACCTCTCCAAGTTTGTCCAGCTTAACGTAAGTTTCAAGTTTCCCAAATCCAATTTCAGACTATAAAAGAAAGTTAAATTTGCATCACATAATAGTAATTGATTGCTGATCGCATTAAATGTGATTATTTTCTTAACCAGATAATGTAGAGTAGCAATCATTTCAATATATGGAAAATCAAACCATAGAACTTTTTCATCAAATTTAATAGCATTGCCAAAAATAAGACTTGCAGGATTACCATTCTCAAGTGCTCTCACTATGTTCTCTCATGTTTCATGACTTTGGCAGGCAGTGCTAAATTATTATTACATTAGGGCTTACACTGCTTTGTCCCGAAACTGCCTTTTTTAAACTTATTGTTCCTATATGCTGGCTTTATGGGTTTTGTTTTCATACACCAGAGCAAGTGCACAATGCAAAGGGAGACAACAAGTCTGCTCTCCTCAAATACGATGGAAATGTCATAAAATTTCCGAGCAAATGCTAAATTTACCAATTCAATTTTTGTCCACCAAATACTTTCAAAAGAATTTGATCTTCCAACTATTATTACACAATTTTCAGTGTAATAATTCACATGTTATTAACAATAGCCAGGAGACAAATAAGATAACTGTGGCCTTAACTATCAGGTCTTAACTAACAAACCTAAGATGCTGTGGGTTTTAATTGATTAATACGTATATGTAAATCCCTAAATTCCTTTGAAGTCACTGTCCTGAGAGAACTAAACTTTTTATTAGCTTGAAGTGGTGCCATTTTAGGTCAGACAATGCATATTAGAAAACATTAGGAAAAATGTTTGTAATCTAGCCTTGAATACATCAGCCCCAAGATTTTGTAACCTCTAATAATCACACAGGCTAATGTTTGGAGATTTCACTTCGCAACTGCAATTTTCAGGGTGCTATGCAACATGAGAAAAGACAGAATTTAAAATAAACTGAAAACAACAAATGCTAGAGATCACAGTCAGTCAGGCAGCATCCACGGATAAAGAGCAAGCTAACATGGAGTCCAGATGATTCTTCATCAGCTGAAGTGAAGTGCTGAAGGCAGAACAATGTGCAGATTGTGTCGTGCAGTGACAGTGGATCGAGCATGGGCCAGAGCGATGGCAGTGGCATGGCGAGGGCTGGAAAGCCCGGAGCGGGACTGCAGCAGTGGAAAGCAAAGTTGGACTCTCTTAAGTTCTCTCTTTTTATCCCCTTGTCTTTTTTTAATTTAATGTGAATGGCACCACGCATGTATCGTGAAGGTACACGCTTTTCACTGTATTTTTACATTGAATATACATGACAATAAATTCGATTCAATTTACGCTATTGTTTGGGGGGGTAGTGGGTGTGGGTGTGGGGTACTGGTGAAGAAAAGATGTCGATAGTTCAGATTAAGTGATCAGAATGTGAGAATGGCAGAACAATAGTGTGTGTCTTGCCAGACTTGAAAGAACGGTAACTGGGATGGAAGGTGAGGAGGACATGATAAGCTAAAAGAAAGGGAAGAAACCTCCCCCATCACCCCCATCCCAGGCCCCAAGAAGACCTTCCACATCAAACAGATGTTCACCTGCACATCTGCTAATGTGGCATACTGTATCCGCTGTTCCCGATGGGGCCTCCTTTACATCGGGGAAACCAAGCGGAGGCTTGGAGACCGCTTTGTGGAACACCTACGCTAGGTTCGCAACAAACGACTGCACCTCCCAGTCGTGAACCATTTCAACTCCCCCACTCCCACTCCTTGGACAACATGTCCATCCTGGGGCCTCCTCCAATGCCACAACAACGCCACCCGAAGGTTGTAGGAACAGCACGTCACATTTCACCTGGGAACCCTGCAGCCCAAGGGTACCAATGTCGACTTCACAAGCTTCAAAATCTCCCTGCCCCCAACCGCATCCCAAAACCAGCCCAGCTCGTCCCCGCCTCCCTAAACTGTCCATTCTTTCTCCCACCAATCCACTCCTCTCACCTCCACCTCCTACCTACCAACCTCATCCCCGCCTCCTTGACCTGTCCGTCTTCCTTTGACTGACCAACCCTCACCCTAACTCCCCACCTACATTCACCTTTACTGACTCCATCCCCGCCTCCTTGACCTGTCCGTCTCCTGTCCACCTATCTTCTCCTTTATCCATCTTCCATCTGCCTCCCCCTCTCTCTCTATTTATGTCAGAATCCCCCTCCCCTCCCCCATTTCTGAAGAAGGATCCAGACCCGAAACGTCAGCTTTCCTGCTCCTCTGATGCTGCTTGGCCTGCTGTGTTCATCCAGCTCTACACCTTATTTACTCAGATTCTCCAGCATCGGCAGTTCCTACTATCTCGGAAGAAATGGTTCGCCCAGTGTGGTCTACACTACATTGGAGAAAACAAATGTGGACTGGGTGACCACTTGGCGAAACACCTCTGGTCTGTGCGCAAGCTGGACCCTGACCTTCCTGTAGCCAGTCATTTTAACACAGCGTCCAGCTTGCATGCCCACACATCTGTCCTCAACGTGCTGCAGTGTTCCAGTAAATCACAGCAAAGCTGGAGGAACATTGCATCTTCAGACAGGGCACTTTATAGCCTTCTGGATTTAAGATACAGTTCAACCCTTTTAAATGGTGAACCATTTCTTCTCTTTCTATTAGCTTGTTATCGTGTCCGCCTCTCCTCCCATCCCAGCTACTGTCCTTTCAAGTCTGGCAGGGGACACATTGTTGTTTTGCTATTCTTACATTCCGATCACTTAATCAGAACTATCAACATCTTTTCTCCACTGGCACCCTACACCCACTCGCGTGTTGGGGAGAGAGTGCGTGCGCGCGCTGGGGAGAGACAACGTGCGCACGAGAGAGAATGAGAGAGTGTGTGTGCAGGCGCACGTGTGCAACTGGGTGCATGTGTCTGTGCGTGTTTGAAGCACAGTGTGTGTGTGTTAAAATGACCGGCTACAGGAAGGTCAGGGTCCAGCTTGCACACCGACTAGAGGTGTTCTGCAAAGTGGTCACTCAGTCTGCATTTGGTTTCTCCAATGTAGAGTAGACCACATTGGGCGAACCTTTTCTTCCCTATCTTTTAGCTTTCTCACACAGAAGTGTGAGTGTGTATATTGTGGTGAAGTCACCTGTAGTTCGACATGAATCCAAGATCCCGGTTGAGACTGTCCTCAATGGTACCCTAGATCACAGCACCCCTACAGTGTGGAAACAGGCCCTTCAGCCCAACAAATCCACACCAACCCTCGGAGCATCCCACCCAGACCCATATCTCTATAACCCACCTAATCTACACATCCCTGAACACTACAGGCAATTTAGCACGGCCATTCCACCTAACCTGCACATCTTTGGACTGTGGGAGGAAACAGGAGCACCCGGAGGAAATCCACGCAGACACGGGGAGAATGTGCAAACTCCACACAGACAGTCGCCCGATGCTGGAATCGAACCTGGGTCCCTGGTGCTGTGAAGCAGCAGTGCTAACCACTGAACCATTGTGCTGCCCAAACTTGGCCGTCAGCCTCTGCTTGGTGACTCTGCGTTGTTGCATATCCCAAAGTCTGCCTTGGAGTATGTTTACCCGAAGATCCGAGGCTGAATGTCCTTGACTGCTGAAGTGTTTCCCCACTGGGAGGGTGAATCCCTGTTTGACGATTGTTGCACGGCATCCATTCATTCTCTCCCCTCCAAACCCCCGCAACACACACTCGCTCCCCCTCTCCCCTCCAACGCCCATACACACACTC